TATGTATATGTATATATATATATATATATTTGTCAAAATGTATTATTAGATTGGAAATATTTTACTATAGGATGGACAAAATTAGACTTTAAAGAAAAGAAAAATGTGAGAAGAAGAAAATAAAATAATAAAAAGAAAAAAAAGTAATATGTAAATGTTCTTCGTTAAAATAATCATACATTGTTTCTCATGTCATATCAGATCAATTTGCCATTATCTGTCAATTTGTATGCGCTATCCTATATTAAGATATTCTCAAGCGATAATTACTATGCAGTTCTATAAAATAAAAAGAAAAAAAAAAGAACGAAAAAAAGGAAAAAAAAAGGAGCGGAAGGGAAAGAATAAAAAAAACATAAACCATGTAGAGAAACATACATTCTTATCTGCGCATAGGCTGCAATGCAATAATAATAATAATATATTGTGATGCTCACAAAAGCACATTAAAAAAACACAATTTACCAAAATTGTAATGTTTAAAATATTTCATGTGATTTTGGAAAATGTTATATATATATCTTTTATTTCCTGCCAATTGTTTAATTTGTAAACGTTGTTCTTTGTTCTTTTTTCAATAAAGTAAGTAAACCGACCAAATTGATATTCTCATTATATATCTTGTTTGTAGATATATAATTGATTTATTGTTTTTTATTTGTATTGTATTTTTATTTTTTATAGAATATGTCTATAATAAGTATATGCGTCTATACAGGGTGTCTAAGATTTTTTACCGAACATTTTTTTCTTATTTTTGTGCATAAAATACGTTGACACTGTTTGGCAGGAAAAAACCTTGAACACCCTGCATAATTAAATTAAATTGATATTTATTTGAAACATTTATTAAATTCCTTGATATTACAGATAATATACATCATTGATAATAATTACACCTCTTCTCTCTTTCTCTCAATTCAAAATAATTAATCTGAATCTGATTCTCGTCTATATTGTTGTTTTGGTAACTCATCTTGCAATTCTAAAACATGTTCTATAGGTTTCGGTTTACCGTCATCTCCAATACGACATGGTCGTACTAATCCTCCCCTAACGGAAATAAATAAATTCATTATTATTCACATAAATAATATCAGACTTTTTTTTCAATTTATTCAAAAGAAAAAAAGAGACAAACCTTGTTAATTGATCTACGAGATTAACAAGCTGTAACGCTTCGTATTCCTTTTGTTCTTCAGTCATACCATCTAAAAGATTTGGTTTTGCTTTTTCATAACAACCAGTTACTGGATTTATTCTTGAAATCATATAATCATGTTAGAAATATATTGAATTGACTTATCGAACACTTGATCTATAATTTATAATACGTACTGTTCTTTGTATTTTAAATATTCCTCAGTATCACTGTCTTCAGATTCAGAATAGGATATCTTTTCTTGATTACGACCTAATAATCCTTTATTTGCAAACATGCCTGCTGCGTTCCCATATCCAGTGTACTTTACCATACGGCTGACTACAAAATTGAACAAATATTAAAGGTATAATATAATTAAATTATAAATTATGAAGTAAATGCGACATATATGTACCATTTTCCTTGCAAAGTATGAAAAGAAATTCAGCAACAATGTCCCGTAACTTGGTGATAGGAGATGTTAAAAGTTTACACAATTTAGCTTTTAATGTTGTTCCCTCTTCTGGACGTTTCATTACATCTTTTAATGGTGGTAAAACCTTAACGAATAATTGTTGTTTTAATAAGTAAGAAGGAACAAAAAAATCAATCTTTGTAACGTCTTATATGATAGAATATCTATCGATTTGATATTATTATATTACCTGTAATCGTACATATTTTCGAACAGATTTGTCTGCTTTTACCAGCCTAATGAGAACAGTAACAACTGGAGAAAGATTCTCTAATTGATTTTCTGTGTAATTTAATCTATTATCTAAAAAATCTAGTATGACTGATATTGTCGTAACATCAGTATTCTGATATAAAATATTGTCGTCGTTGTCGCTTTCGCTAGACTGCATCATTTGTATATAGTTGTTTAATGGTATAGCAGTTAATAAATTGATAGCATTGCTAAAAAATAATAGAATAAAATTAATCTAAGAAAATGATATCTGGATATGTCTATTAGATTAAAAGCAATATTTTTGTATATGTCGATAAGTTTTACCTTACAAGATCATTATTATTTGACCAATTTTTATTATATAAAAATGTATACAAAGACGTTGTTAATTTTTTATTCTTTTCTTGCTCTTCTATCGCTGAATCTTCAGAATGTATATATAAGTTAAATAAAACTTTTAAAATATCACAAATTAAAATTATATCCTCATTCTGAAAGAATAATTTCAATATAGTAATTAGCATTTAAAAATAATATACAGGAGGATGTCCCAGTTTGTTTCTACAAAAATTTACCATTATATTCTATAAATAAAAGTAAGACTAAAAATGTTGTACAAACATAAGCTCTTAAATGCTTCATTAAAAAAACTGATTAAAAATTATTGGACAAAAAATGAAATACTCTGTATATAACACAGTACATTAGATAAACATACCTTGATAGAAAACGATACGTTAGATTTATATTGTTCCAATAATTCATCCAACATATTAAGCAAATAAGAATCGCCATTTAATTCTTTCACCGTATTTCTTGCCGATGTATTTAATGCAGTTAATATAAATAACATTTTAATATCGAACAATTTCATTTCGTGGGACGAATTGGAGTCATACTTATTGATCCGATTAATCAGATTTTCCAAACAATTCTTTTCTATTACCAAACATTCTCGTACTTTAAAACTATGATACAATAAGTTACAGAGTACTTTAGCAGATTCTATCGGAACTGAAAAAATAAAATAAGAACTAAATAAATAAACGTAGAAAAATCTTGGATTGATATTAACAAAATAATCATTACCGTTAGTAGATGGATCCTGTTCTTCATCATTCTGACAATCCAGTTTTGCTAATTGTAATAACAACGTTACCATTTTTTTGCTAACGATTTTATTTAAATCAGTTTTGTCTCGACTGCATAAACAATAAAATAAAAAAAAATGTAAGTAATAAATGAATTATACTCTTATTGTATGCATACAAACAAATATTAATAATTATTATTACCTAAGTATACGCAATGCAGTTAAACAATTAAGATGCATAGATTTATACTCTGATTTAGATAAATATTGAAATAATATTTTCCAGGTTTCTTCTCGTAACTGGTTATCGCATATTCTTTCAATCATAGTTTTATCCTCATACTGTTGATATCAATGAATCCAACAAAAAAAGATAAAAGTTATTTTATTAAATGTACATTTTATTTCTTAAGATTTATTAATTTATTTCATAACAAAATTAATTAAATAATAATCTTACAAGATTGTCAGCTTAATATTTAACAAACAAAAATAAATAATAATAATTAATTCATCGTTTTAAAAGGTATATAAAAGTAACTTACTTTTTTGACAAATATTTGAAGAGTATCTTTAAAAGTACAACTCCCAGAAATTAATTTTCGCGCTAAGTCATCCATAGCAATTGAATGTTTAAATGTTCATTCAGTTATGAAATTTTTTATTTTTCTTGTATTTTTCTATAGTTTTTTAAATATAGATTATACATAGATTATGTTTACATCAATAGGTACCATTTTAATTTCATTAATAATACATTTTATATATATGTATATATATATATATATATAAATAAATTTGGATAAAATATTAATTTATATTTATTATTTTCCCCACCGCGAGAAAATAACAATTTCTTTTTTCTCTCGTCTCAGTTTTTAATTTAATTTATTTTCATTAAAGGATTTGATTACTAATTCAATTTTAAACATTTAATTGTATTTATTCACACTCTTTTAACAAAGTAACTTAACCTAAAACAGACAAATGAGACAGAAAAAAAATGTATTTTACTGTTGTGCGCAAGGTGTTACGCATACGCGGTAAAATATAAAATTCGAATTACGTTATCATAAATAATGAAAGCATAAAAACGATATAATAAAATTGTACTCATCTTCATAAAAAATAATAACTATAATATATTTTAATAATAAAATAGAGGAATGTTCGTCTCTAATTTATTATTACTTTAATATTTGAATAGCACGTTTGAGTACACCAGTTAAATTTCCCGCATTTAATTAAGACAATTTTCGCACTTGCGCGTAACGAACAAAGTTTCTTCTGTTCATATTTATATATTAATAATATCATATTAAACGTATAAAAAAAGATTTCTATTTTAAATTCGAAGTAAAAAAGATTTATTTATAAAAATGATTTATTCTAAAATTGTTTTCTTGGATAAAAAAAGTAACCAATCAAAATGTTTCATAAGGAAAAAGCGGGAAATCCACGTGGAGAAGAAAGCAAAGAAAAGAAGGTTGGTTGTTTGAGCGTAGATTTCTTTTATTCATTTATTTGTTATAATATTAATTTAAAACAAAACTAATCGTTGGTACACCATCGAGAATAACAATTATTCTATTGCGTTAAATAATTTTACTATCAAAGTAAATATTTATTTAAATCACGCGAACGATAAAACACGCAGCCAAGGTTAAGTAATTCTAATATATTTATTTAACATATTTTGATATTGAAATATTGAAAATCAAAGGTATAAAACCAGAAGATTAAATACTTGAAAAGCAAGACAATTTCTCAACATGAATCAAAAGTATTTGTACAAGAGACGCAGTTGGAGCAATATAAATGCTGGTGTGTTTCATCGCATTAAGAAACCTAAACCAAAGTTAAAACCTACCATGGAATTATCTAAATCGTTAGATAAGAAAGAAAATATTAAAGAATCATCTAATGTTAAAGGTATCAGTGAAATAGATACTAGCACGCAAATGATCACCGATGGAACACAAGCTCATTCTCTCTCTAATATGCAATTAATTCAGAAAAATATTTTGCATCCGACAATTCCGCAAGGATCTAATGCACCTAAAATACCAAACGTAACAGGTAATTCAAGTATCAAGTCGAAAAAATCGAATGATCAAGTTGAATGTAACGAATTGAAAAAATGTTTCATTAAAGATTCATCTAAATCTATGGATTTATGTTTAGACGATGCTACTGATTTGAAAGTAGATAAACCAGAGTTTGAAAATATAATGAAGGAGAACAAAATAGATAACATATTGAAAATATTAGAAGATGATTGGGCTAATGATGAATATGACACAATGGATACTTTAATTAACGATAATACTAAGATTACCTTGTCTCCATTAAAATCTAACATTTTACCAAACAATGTTGGAACAACTTCGCCTAATGAACTTAGCGAACTAACGTCTGCTATGAATATTATGGATACATCAATTGTTGATAATACTAAAAATCCTTTATTTTCTTCTACTTTAACTGTTGACAGTAATATAACTAAAGTTGAGAAGGAAAACAAAGAAAAATATTATCCTCTATTCAACAAAGGTTACTGTATGAGCAATGCGTAAGTATAATTTAAATTAACATAATTATATATGTTAATATTACATTCTTGACGTTAAACGTTTAAATTTGTTAAAGAGAAAACAAGAATATAAAATCGATGCAAGGAGTTAAGAAAGGAATGAAATGGCAAGTATCGTCTAAAGGTGGTGGTGGCGGTAAAAATCAATATCAATTAGATGCAGGTCAAAAACATTTTGGAGCTACACAATGTACTGAATGTGGTATCGTTTATCAATTGGGTGATCCTGAGGATGAAAATGCTCATTTAAATTATCATAACAGCATTAGAACTTTAAGATTTCAAGTAAGTATCCGTTATATTTAAATACATTCATTAAAATTGTTTATATCATTTGTTTAATATTATTTATATTTATATTCAATGCATTAGGGTTGGAAAAACGAAAGAATTATCATGGAGGATCCCTTAACATCGAGTAGAATAATTTTAATAGAACCATCCGATTCTAAACAATGTTGGAAAAAGGTAACAGAAATTTTGAACGTCGTCGACAGAGATTTAGGTTTAGCTGATTCAAATTATAGCGATAAACAGGTAAATAAATATTTTTTGTCGTCATTAGAATGGATGGAGAGATATAAATGGCTATTTGTGTTCATTTTTAGGTATATTTATACATCAAAGATAAAAACGTATTGGGCGTGCTGGTAGCAGAGCACATAGAAACTGCATTTCGTATGATACCAGAGTTAATAGATTTAAATTGTTGTACATCTGAAAAAACACCTGCTAAGTGTGGTATTAATGTTGTATGGACAACAATGAGTCATCGCAAACAAGGCATAGCTACGAAACTTGTAGATACTCTGAGGTATATTTTTTAATTATTTGTTTCTACATTTCTATACTTCGTAAAGATTGTGTTTATCTAATCAAGCGGTTATTTTGAAAATTTTCTCAGAGCTAATTTTTTCTATGGGTACATAATGTCCTTAGATGACATCGCATTCTCCACTCCAACACCTAGCGGGAAATTATTTGCAGAGAAGTATACCAAAAGCAAAAATTTTAAAGTCTACAATTGATAGTAAGTTTAAACTTTTGTCTCTTACAGGATATAAAATAATTTAATCATTTTTATCAATGTTTCTTTATTTATTATTCGTTCTTTTCTTCTATTTATTTTGTTAGAATTACAGATTTACTGAGGTTTCTTTGTACAGCTTCGATTCCATTTTCTCGAAAGACATTAGAAAATTCGTTAAACATGTTAGAAAAAGTCTTCTTCGTTGTCATCCTCTTTTGCATACAACAACTGATATCTACAAGCTGGTTACACACAATGAATTTGAAGAACGTGTTTCTTCAGGTAAATTTTTGATATATAAACATAAAACTTTTAAAAAATTACTTTTAAGATGAGGAATACTGAAGAAAGAATTTTAATTAGTTTCGAAATCGTATATGTATAATATATTGTAAAGATCCCACAGATTTTATCTTACAAAAATTCAAAATAACAAAAATAATTAAAAGATAGTAACAGATAATATCGCCGGTGGAAGTATATTTTATGAAATATATCTAAGTTATTATAATACAAAATTCTACTAGGTAATGGAAGTGAAGAGAACGATTTACGTACTTCTGCTTTTGCTTCTGCCCATTTTAACTTGTCTGGTTTAATTAATATATATATATATATATATATATATAGAGAAACAACAAAATTTTAATTTTTTTACATATTTAACTAAATTCTTTTAAAACTTAGATCAAATTCCTAATAAAATCCATCGTCTTTTATTTTATGTGAGCGATATATTAATTATATTAATTTAAACATATACATAGAAACAAAAAGAGATAGTTCGAAGAAGATAGTCTTGTGATTTCTAAGACCCAAATGTAATAACATTTGTACTAGTCGTTGTTTATGAAGAATACTTTTGTAATTGTTTCTATATATATATATATATGTATATATACATACAAAGAAAAAAAAACAAATTGTACATTTCATATACTATACATATAAATTTATATTAGAGAATATTTAATTTCTATAAATTATCTGTTAATATATATAAAAATATTATATTTACACGAATTTTAGTCATAATGTTTCTGGTCTTTATCGAGAACAACTATTTCTTTCTTAATAAATTTATTAGAAATTTTGTATCACGGTTAATCCTTGCAATTAATTTTTTTCTATGTTTCTATAACCTTCTCTATTGTTATTTTTTAATCTTAATTTAAGTTTTACTATAGATTTTCAATTATCATTATACGATAGTCGTTTTATTTAAAAGAATGTATATTTGAGATTGCTATTAATTAATGCATTCTTAAATACAAATAAAAAATATAGGTAAGTTAGGTAATATTAAACATGTTGCAATAATTTTATTCTCCTATGTTTAATTAAGTTTCATCAAAAGGAAATATGTAATATTAATTGAAATTAATACGTAATTATTTAAAAATATATATACACATGTACTCGTACAAAATTTGAAAATAATTTTAAACAATTATTTTTTAAGGCAGTTTATTTATCTGAAATTAATTTTTTTTTTTTTTTTTTTTAACTAAAGTTGATGCTAATATTAAGAAAAATACCCTTTATTAGACAAATTGTGTGTTTAAATTGCTTTAAAAGCCAGGTTATTCCCTCTTTTACAGTTGTCTGTATAAAAGTAAAAGGGAAATAACATTCAGAAGTAGCCAGTGTTATTTAATCTAGTAATTTAAAAGTACGAATTAGTTTCTTGTATCGATACCATGTCACTAGTGGTAATTTCTATAGTAACTAAATTTATTAATTAAGAATAAACCAGTGGGAATCATTCTGTTTTATTATTATTGTATGTTTTTAAATAATACTTCAATACTTTTGTACGTATTATAAAAAGGCAAGTTCTGTTTGTAAATAATTCAATATGAAATGCTAATGATGATAACGCTTCTAGACAATTAAATAGAATAGAAATGAATTCTTTTTAATCGTCTAACCAAAAAATACTATTTCTACATTCATGATTTTTTTATTTACAATTCTTTTTAAAAAATATCCTATATAAATAACTGAATATATTATCTTTTAGATGTATTTATACATCTGAGAAAATTTTTTCTTCAGGCATATTTTTAAAACTTTCTACAAATTATTTTAAAGATCAGGTACTTAAGACAAATTTTAATTAATTTTCAGGATTTATATATGCACACAATTATTTAATTCTTCATCTAAAATACATAGCTTATGTAAAATCCAAAATTACACAAATAATTAAAACATAGTAACAACCAAAGTTCTTATCGATTAGTAATTAGGTTATTCCGGTAAAATCTTTTCTAATTCCATTCATGATGCATCTAGTTTTATTTACAGTTTAGTTTTATCGTTCTATTTTGCATTTTCGTCTGTTTTTCTTTCCGAATTTTGTACATCTTCGCTATAGCATATAATTTTTCTGGCACTTCCTAGGGAAAAATAAAAAAGAAAAACAAATATAAGTATATATATATACACAATAAAAATGTAAATTTTATAACTTACTTGATCAGAACTTGTTAGTAATGTAATTAAACGTCTGGCATCATTCCTATTTTTCTTTGTCATAAGTATTACGCTGACTCCAGTTTTATCATCACATATTGCCCATCTAATTCGACGATTATACTTTTTAAATTTAAATGTAAGATCATAATTGTAGACGTACCTAAAGAAAAAAAAAAAATATATATATATATATATGTATATTTCTTTTTTAATTATCAAACATAAATAGAACTAAAAAGAGATAATGAAAGGAAAGAAAAATATATAAAATAAAACATACACTATATCATTAATATCAAATTCTGTGAATAAAAGATCAGTTGTAATAATGATTCTTGCTGTTGTTTCTTCTATTTTAAGCTTTGCGATTCTTCTATCGCTTATATCTTTTAAACTAAGAATACTTTTACGATTTATATCTGCTCGAATAAGATTACATTCCAATTCATCTATTCGAGATATCTCATTAGTAAATACCATCATTTTTTCCTTCAGATTCATTTTTTGTATGAATTGAAGCAACTGTAAAAATATCCAAAATATGTTTCTTTGTTTTTCTTTTTTCTTACATAAAATCAATATATTGTGTACTAAAAACGACACGCATTTAAATAAAATACTAACTCTATGAAATTTGTTTGCTTCGCGGGAAATATATTGTACTTCATGGCGTATATTATGTGGAACAGATTGAACAGATTGAACATGGAGTTCAATTGGGTTTTTCATATATATTTTTGCGAAACGCCTAATACTTGTTGACAAATTAGCGCTACTGGAAATATTAAAAATATTTAAACATTCAAAACGCACATTAAATAATAATATGTTATATTTATATGTACAGGGGGGTGTCTCAGCTGAAGGAGACTACTTAAATACTTCCTTTAACTAAGATGCCCTATATATTACATACCTGATCATAACAAATTGGCTATCCATCCTTACATAAGATAAACTTTTTCTGATGTGAAATGCAAGTTTCATGTCCAACATATGACCAATCTCGTTCAATACAACATACGTTACATATTTTAATTTTACAACATTCATATTCACCAGAACATTTAATCTCTGTGATGTAGCTATTAATATTTCTACATTTTTTCTTAATGCTTTTATTTGTTGAGTTTTATTACAGCCTAAGAATACAGAAACCCTAAAATAAAATAATTATTTGTACAATCATTATTCAAATACATAAGAAAAAAAAAACAAGAACGAAAAAAATTAATCTTTATATAATAACTCACGCCTTAATGCCGAAATAGGAAAATCTTTGAACTTCTTCTTGTATTTTTAATGCTTGCATTTTATTTGCAACTAAGATAAGAACATTAGGACCATTACCAGTAAAAAAAGATTTTTGTTTTGAGATATGTATTAAAGCAGGCAGCAAGAATGCTAACGTTTTATCTAAATAATGATAAAAAGATAATTATAGAGAATAATAGTCTAATATAAATATTAAAAAATACAATAGAAATATATGATAGAGACCTAATTTAGCTGGTGCTATGCCAAGCATATCTTTGCCGCTAAGCAATATTGGCCATGCTTGACACTCGATGGAGTTTGGTTTTTCTAAATCTTGTTCCCTTATTTTCTTCAACATTGCTGGATAATTCTGTTATTGCATATAATTTCGCGTTATTATTATTATTATTATTATTATTATTATTATATTAACTATAATATAAATTTTTAATTTCATTCTCTTATTTTACTTACGCTGAATGCTTGTTCGAACGTTAATATTGGATTAGGAATAGGAAAATCGTTAATATTATTATACAAATCCTTCATATATTTAACTTCGATAATGTTATTCGCCTTCTTAATCATATTTACTTTTTTTTTAGACATGTTAGCAACAACAGGATCCTCTCTATATAAGTTCTTGATTATTTGAGGATTTCCGACGAACACTGGGGGGCTTACTTCATCCTAGTTTTTAATATAATTAACGTATTTAACTTCATCGCTGTAGAAGAATAGATTTTTGTAATTAAAATTAAAAATATGAATTAAAGCTTACACATTTATTCAAAGTCAGGCTCCGATAGTTATTTTTCGTAAAACGTGATAATTTTTTTAAACATTTTTTAATTAAAACTTTTGCCTTACGTATTAATATTGGCAATCCAATTATAACAATAATTGGATATGGATTTACTATTCTTACCTGTTTATATATAAGAATAAAAAAAAATATAAATTAACAATTTTATTTGTTACATCATATATAGAATTTTGTTTATTACATATTACAGAATATTTAATCCCTACTAAATGCCCCTTCTAATATTAATATTATACTCACACGAATTATAGTGTTACTTTCATCTTGTAATTGCTTAATATTTCTTCCTTCTTTCCCAATAAATTTACCTACAATATTAACATCTATGGGCATAGTTATAAATGGAAAATAATTAACTATCGAATTTTGTTTGTATCCTGTAATGCTTGATTTACTCTTTAAGTGAAATTTTGTATCAATATCCGGCCTATGATTATTTGTTGTTTTACTACAAGGCGATACTTGCTTTAATATATTTTCTATCATTTGTTCTGCTTCTAATATTGCCATATAAGTTCCGGATATTTTTACTATGGCATTAGTATCATTTGAAGCACACCGTTTTATCTGTTTGTATATACATACAAAAAAGAAAAAAAAAACAAGTTACCTATTTTATATATCATGTTAAGTATAGAATTTTGTTTATTACATATTAGAGAATATTTTTTTCTCATAAATTATCTGTAAATATCAATATTATACTTACACTAATTTTAGTATTACTTATTCTTTGTAAATTTCTAATATTGTTTCCTTTCATTCCAATAAGTTTACCTACTTTAATTCTATCTATAGTAATAGTTACAACAATTGTATCAAATCTTTGTAAATTGTCTTGTTTTTTTTGATCGTTGTAATATTTAATTATTGGTCTGAGCTTATCGCTCATTTTCTTCTTTTTATTTTTATTCCATCCCAATTTTCCTTTAGGATATGTACACTCAGGGTCAGTATACCATCCATCCTCCAATCTTAAGTAAAAATAAAAATTTTAATTAGTTTGATTATATTAAATATATTTTAATCATTTTTTCTTTCAATGTTTAATTTTAAATTTTATCGAAAAAAAATATATAATAGTATATAATAAAGTATATAAGTATAAAAAAATAATGTCCTTACTCAAATAATTCCATAGTCAGTAGTATAATCTATTAGCGTCAATATAATTTAAATAATATATTTGTCCGGATGGATATATAACAATTCACAATAAAAATGATTACAAAGATTAACTTTTGGTTCTTCTACGATTAATTACATGTATTTAAAATAACTTATATTCCTAAAATTAAAGATGAAAGTAACGAGGAAAGAAGAACAAAAGAAATACAAATTAGGAATTACATGTAACGAATATTTTGTTCTCTTGATAAATACATGTATATATATACATTTCAAAATAAATACCTGATACTGTTTTTTTACTAATTCAAAATTCAAAATTAAATTTAAATTATTATTCTTACTGAGACTATTTGTAAAACCGTACTTATTCTCAGACTTCGTCTGAAAAATAAAGTAGATTATACAATTAAGATAAGTAAACTTAAGCTTACTTAAGGGGAATTTATTTACAACCATTTTATGAATTATTTTTTTACAAAAATTAAAAATATTAATCAAAAATAATATAGTGATTTAAACGCACAAATTAGTTCATGGTTTCGACACTGCATCGCTACTAGCCATTTCCTTGTTAACTATATTTATCAATTGAAAGTAATTCTACCAAATGCTTCTAGTTCTATGGTTAAAGTTTTTGACATTAAAATAAACCAATAAGAATTCGCCACTAAAGAATAAAGGATAGCTGTCGGCTACCGCCCGTAATGGCCGCGGCTTTCGTTTCCTTTTCGGTCATTTTTGCTGTGTATCATCAATTTTGTTCTAAAACTCGTTTTGTGTACATTTACTTTGTCTTTTGTTAATACTCAATTATTCACAGACTTATTGTTAGAAAACAAGTTTTTCTACTAATATTTTTAACATGGGACGATACAGAAGGTATATATACATATGTACATATACATATATATAAACTGTTTCATTATTCATTAATATTTAAACTAGTTGAGCTTAGTTGACAGTAGTTTTAGATAATCAAATGGAATATAAATCAATTCTTTTTAATCGTATAATCTAAAATTTATAATTTTTGTTTAGTAATATAAATAAATTCTTATGCAAGATTTTTTTTTAAATAGATTATACATGTTCTATTTTCACTATATTAACTTAGTTCTAAATTTTCTATCCTATCATTTCCAGCTGGATTGAGGATTTCAATTATATCAATTAATTGTTAGTTAGGTATTATAATTAATGTATTCTGTAAGAAATATCAATGATATTTTTTTCTTTAAATAAATTTCACACATAGAAAAATTAAATAAAATATTTATTTATATATTTCAATAAAAATTCTTGTATAATATTAACAATAGTTTTCATTTTAGTCGTAGCCGTGACCGAGACAGGAGACGTAGATCAAGAACAAGGTCTCGTAGTCGATCACCAAGAGACAGAAGAAATTGGGGCATTAGTGCAGGTCGTGATAGAGGAATTGCTGGACGTAACAATCGTGGTCAACCTGGAGCTAATTTGAGAAAACCACGATGGGATCTTAGTCGTTTAGAACCTTTTAAAAAAGATTTTTATATACCAAACGATGTTGTACAGAATCGTGACCCACGTATTGTGGAACAGTACAGATGTGATAAGGAAATAACCTTGAAAGGAAAGAATATACCTAATCCTGTTTTTACGTTTGAAGAAACAGGCTTTCCTGATTACGTACTTAAAGAAATCAAGTAAGTTTAGGAATAATATTATAACCAATTTATTTATCAGATGAAACATAATTAAATGACATTTTCAAATCTATTTTTAGACGGCAAGGTTTTAGCGAGCCTACATCAATTCAAGCTCAAGGATGGCCAATCGCTTTGAGTGGACGAGATATGGTTGGAATTGCATCTACTGGATCTGGCAAAACATTGTCTTATATACTTCCTGCTATTGTTCATATTAATAGCCAGCCTAAACTTAGTCGTAAGGATGGTCCAATAGCATTGGTATTAGCACCGACCAGAGAACTTGCTCAACAAATACAGCAAGTAGCGGATGACTTTGGCCATTCATCGGGTATAAGAAATACTTGTCTGTATGGCGGTGCACCTAAAGGTGCCCAAGCAAGAGATTTAGACGGTGGTGTAGAAATAGTCATAGCTACGCCTGGTAGATTATTAGATTTCTTAGAATCTGGAAGAACTAATTTGAAAAGGTGTACATATTTAGTACTGGACGAAGCAGATAGAATGTTAGATATGGGATTTGAACCTCAAATTCGAAAAATTATTGAACAAATCCGACCGGATAGGCAAACTCTAATGTGGTCTGCTACTTGGCCGAAAGAAGTGAAAAATTTGGCAGAAGATTTTCTCAAAGATTACGCTCAAATCAACGTTGGCTCTTTACAACTCGCTGCTAATCATAATATTTTACAAATAATTGACGTTTGTCAAGATTACGAAAAAGAAAATAAGTAAGCATTGGTTTGATTTTCTTTTGATTTTATTCTCATTCGGATTTTATGTATAACTTTATTAATCAATTATTACAGATTAAGTACACTCTTGAAAGAAATTATGGCAGAAAATGAAAATAAAACAATAGTATTTATTGAGACCAAACGTCGTGTTGATGAAATAACTAGAAAGATGAAACGCGATGGTTGGCCAGCTGTTTGTATCCATGGAGATAAGACGCAGCAAGAAAGAGATTGGGTATTACAAGGTATAAATACTATATGTAGATTTAATTTAATTGTAATAAATTTATCTTATAAATAAAATATTTTATTTTAATTATAGATTTTAGATCGGGTAAAGCGCCTATTCTTGTCGCAACAGATGTAGCAGCACGTGGTCTTGGTAAGTTAATAAAAATCTTCTTTACTTTTATAACAGAATAAGATAACAGTATGGTAATAATATCAGTCATTATTAGTTTGTTATATACAAGGGGATTGATAATAAACCAAGGCAGTAAATCACAAGTTATATCTAATTAAATCTTATTTTTTACTAGAAGAGTATTTGTGCAATGCGCTCTTCTAGTTAAACAATTTAGTAGGAAAGAGTATAATTCTAGTATCTTATTATTAGAGTAATATAAAAAAAAAATATATATATTATAATTAAATTATTTATTAATTATTAAAATGCTTATTTAGAAATTGTAAGTATTTTGCTAATAAACAAAAATGTATATATATATATATAAAATTGAGTTATACATTGAACTAGTATGACTTAGTAAAAGGAAAATATATATATAGACAAATTTGCTGCCTCTGAATGTATATAGTTGTATATGTTGATATATATACATAAAAACTAAGATAATTTAATTTAATTTCAAAAAGAAAGGATTCGTAAGCATAGTAAATATAATAGAATAGTAGGAGGAGAGAATAAAAGATAAATATTGTAGCTAACGCGGCTGGATGTTTGTTTGCATTGCAGAGGCACATTGCGCGCAGTCCCACGCCGGGTAATGCAAAGCATATTGGGGGTGCCCGCCGCCTGTTTGTTCGGTGGTGCACTAGTTTGCATTGTCTGCGCTGGCTGCGGCGCGTGCCTCTATCCGTCAATAACGTGAAGGGCCAAGTCCGGGCCAAATCGGAACACCTACTTTACTACCTACATACTGGATATCTCAGTCCTACGCTGCGCTGTACGCCATCTGGGCTGACCAGGTCGTTGTTGCCAGAATAGTGTCCCCTGCGTTGGCTGCTCGAGCTAATCAGACCCAACAACGGTCCGATGAGGCGGTGGCATGAATAGCAGATGCCAGAGCCTCAATGTGCCCTGTAGCAACAGAGCGGCGGAGGCTGTTGTAGCTGGAGCGAGCGCAAACAGCCAGGCCCTGCCCGTACGTTGCTAGCGACACTCGCCCACTGCCTAATTTTATAGTATGATTTATAGTCAAATCAAGTTTATCGATATATATATATACACACGTTATATACGTTTACATATATATAATTACTTATGTACGTATATATATATATATATATATTCATATACATTACACTATCTCACACAAGAACACAATACATACGCATTAATTGCATACACATCATATATACATATATATATATATATACATACATAGTATATGCATATATGTATACATATACATACAATATTTATATTCATTTCTAAACTACTCACTTATCTTACTTACTTGCATTTCCTTATTTTCCTCTTTCTTCTTCTTCTTATCTTCTTATTCTTCTTCTTCTTCTAATCTAATTGTGATAACTTTTACACCTCTATCATCATTATCATACTTTTGTATTACTAACTACATTTCAAAGTTCATCATTCTTTCTTGAATATCCATCCATAACTTTGGTAAAAACTTTTTCTAATATCCGATATCTTTTTCTCTATCCTTTTAGATTGATATCGTCGTCTCTGAAGCGTACACATCAGATATATATACATATATATCTAGTTTACATTAATTATACAATTCATTAATTTTTATTATGTTTTTGTACTTCGATATTTATCTGAATTTTAATATCAGTTTCATAATATGTATAAATATATATAAGAGAATTATTTATTTTCTTTAGTTTCTTTTTAACTTTTATATTTTATGTCATAAACGCTCTCTAAAAAAATATCATTAAGTATTTATCTCATTTTTTATTTTACTGTGCTTTTATCAATTCTATTTTTTTCTTCTGACATTGTCTATTTTGTTATGTTCCATTAGTTTTTTGTTTTTTAAAGTATTAAACTTCGATTATAATCTTCATATATTTATTTGGAAAGCATAATCAATTATTATATGTATATATTTTTTGGAGAGCGTATTAGAGTTTTCATTTGAATTAAAAACAATTCTATTTCGAAGTATAAAAATCAATATCCGATGCAGTGTATTTCATTTGTCGTTACACTGCTTTATCAATATATAACAGAGATGTATGTTTTATAAAATTCATTTAATATGATAAACCATAGTAAGCCTAATGTAAATCCTTCATTTCAGACGTTGAAGACGTCAAGTTTGTTATCAACTTTGACTACCCTTCTTGTTCAGAAGATTACGTTCATCGAATTGGACGTACAGGTAGAAGACAGAAAACTGGGACTGCATACACGTTCTTCACACCTAATAATTCTAATAAGGCTAATGATTTGATTCAAGTATTAAAGGAAGCCAATCAAGTTATCAATCCTAAACTTTTAGAACTTGCAGAAGGCAAATCGGCTGCTTATGGAAGGCATAGAGGTTGTTATTATATTGATAAGTATTTATTATTTATACATCATACAAAAGTATTAAAAAAATCACAT